TCAATATGAATTAAATAATTACAGATATTTACTCGTAAGTGAACACACCGAGAAGACAAAAGCATACGAAATAACAACTTGCTTTGGCGTTCTAATTTTTGTATGTTGTATTACTCACCAATAAACATGCATTCAATCAAATACAACCTACCAAAGAAAGGCCACTGGATAATATTCAATCTTGATTTGAAGCTTTCGTGACTGCAGGAATCCAAACTCTTTGATTCATTCGGTAAAGTCACGTAGGTAGAAAATAAAATTTACCGAAATGGGAATAACATTTTATTTTATAAAATTCCATTTGATTAAATTTTATGTTATTTTATACCTACATGACTTTACCGAAAGCACCAAAGAGTATGGATAATATTCGTTAGGAAAACTAATAGGCCGATGGACTACAAGATATGTTTTATTTATATATGGAGACAGGGAACAGAGTTTTACTTACATATGCAATTGCCGAAATGGAAATCTGTCTTTGAAACATTTTTTGTTATCCATAAGAGATTTTTGGGTTTGATCGCATAAATATATAAATGTGTCGTTAAACCCACCGCTACCCGACACAGCCAATTATTAAGGTTTGTCACGTAAACAGAACGTGCCAATTCGTTACGAGTACAGCACACTGGTGTGTTGGAGAGTAAACCCACAACATTGACAATTCGAGGACAACGTTTCGCCAATAATTACAATCACAATCATCAGGCGACAGCCAGATTTGTAGAGATATCCTCCTCCTATTTCGGTCTTAAATAGAGGGATAAATGCGATGTCGTCGCGAAAGCCGACGTGTACATTTTTTCTCACATTGGGTTCAACAATATAAAAATATTTTTAATTGGTATGATGTATAACAACAACAACAACATTCGGCGACATGAAGTCATTTTAAGTGGAGATTAAAAAAAAACATCCATCACTTACGACGAGCACCAGAGCATAGCGAGGACACACGATCCTTATAGATTTATTTTCCATGCTAATGGCGGGTTGGGGCGTGCAAGATGTTTGAACACAAAAAGCAACGGTGCGCGTCAATATTGCGACGCGACTAATTGCTGCGGAGGTGGGGTTACCTTTGCTCACTCGCCCCTGAACAAAGAAGAACGCAACTTGAACACGCAGCGCGTGCCTCGAAGGGCGAGCTTGTGAGGTGGTCACGTGGCTTACGAGTTGAGAGCGGCTCTAAAGCTGCCACTGCTGAGATTCTGATTTCAAATCCAGGCAGCCGCAACCCAATTGTACGTGCCAACGTGTGTGGTGAACTTCTTTCGCACCGTACGTAGCCAGCCGTGCTAATCGGAGGTGCGGTGGGAAGGATAACAAGCTAAACACACAAAGAGCCGTTCTAAAGCAATGAGTTTTCAATCCAGACTGAGTAAGTGGTCTCACAGCCCGGCCATGAATGGCTGCTCATAAACCCAACATTAAATGACATCCGTTTTTTTTTCCACACCTAAATTGGCTTAATTTCCGTTACGGACACAAAAACGCATTAATTCTAGATTTGAAGCATCTTTGACTCTCACGTGATCAACATTTCTCTCCATTGCAAGCTAAAGGAAGAACAAAGTCACCAGTAGTTCTGTGATACATGCTTCTACGGCAACCGCTCTCCAACGCCGGGTGCTGCACCGCTGTGCGAGAGTTCGGAATGGACGCTTCATCTCGTGGCGGGATTCCGAATGCACAATTGGAATACAATATAAGAAAACTGCCCTCACCATAAAAAACACACATTTTCTGCCAGCTATACATGTGGCATCCATCCATCCATCCACCCATCTGTTTGTCTGTCTTTTAAAATAAAACGTTAAGGACCGTACTGGCACTGGTGTACAAGCACTTTGCTGTAAAATGTTATTTCCAGCTATAATCTGCCGCCTGCTCTCTCTGCTCTAGAGGGCCGTAGCTTAAAACAATAGTGACATTGCAGACAGATAAAATGTTCATTTATGACCAGGTGAGGACCCATTGAGACTGACAAAGATGCTGCAAGTCTCATTTACAAGAGAGACCCAGGGTTCCAAACCAGAAAATTGGGTACAACTGCTAAACATCAATCATGTAACATCATATGTAACATGCCATTTCTCGATTTAAATTCGTTTTTTTTACAATAGTCAGCTCAAAAGTAAACGTGTCTCCCTACTCAAAGTGTGGAGCTACGTCCAATTCCACTGAGAGCCCTGAGTTTACGGTGTCTAATTCCACATTCAGTCTTTACTTATGAAGTATTGGAATTGACGGCAGGAACTTCTTGACGGGTAACACACTTTTATTAAATCTTTACGTTCACCATACAACGTGTGGTCTCCTTTCTTCCGACTACACACTCCACTTAACTCGTGTAGACTCTATGGTTCTGACTACACCCAATACACTTGACTCGTGTAGACCCTATGCCTCTGGATACACACAATACACTTGACTCGTGTAGACCTTATGCCTCTGGCTACACACAATACATTCGGCTCGTGTAGACTCTATGCCTATGGCTACACACACTACACTCGCCTCTGGGTTACACAGAGTCCCGGTCCCGTTAGGACAGCGGGACTAGGTACCGCAGGGCCCTAGGTCTTCATCCCCGTCTTCATTCTTCGCTGGTTACATACTGCCCTTACGCCTGTGTGCATCCCCTTTTATAGCCCCTGCTCACGAGAGACGGAGCTGATCCGGACGTCGACGTGAGCATCGTTCCCTAGTGAACCAATCACGACGCACTCTCTCTACGATCCGTTTTCCCAGCGCGTGTTAACACTCCTCTCCCAATCACACCGCGCTGCCACCCGATCACTCCCTCTCAGCGCGTCACGGGCCCACAGCCAATCAGTACCCCGTAACCCACGACCCCGCGCTGACCCCTGATCCGCCACCGTCAGCGCGCGTCACCACCTACACAGCCAATCATTACGCGCTGGCATACGATCCCTAATCCCAGCGCGTATCACCTCTACACTTATACCGGAGGAATCTGATGAGCTATCAAGCTCTTTTCACAGTTGCCCAGTAGTTGGTGGAGGGGAGCATCTCAGTAGTACAACTTATGCAGAGCAGCAGCAATGTGGTAAAGTTGTTCCCGTCTGGGTAATCCCACCTCTTCCACGACGTTTGGCCAGTGTGCAAGAGCAGGCCACAGTACCACCTTGATAGGGTCTCGGAGCTCCCTCGAGTGGAGGCCCTTCCACCAGTAGTAGCATGAGCAAAAATTGCAGGGCTGCACCTTTGCCATCATTACCTTTCATATTCTTAGGTTTTTTCGGTAAAGTCACGTAGGTAAAAAAATAAAAATTAATAAAAGTAAAATAAAAATAAAATAAAATCACGACGTTTCGGAGGCAACACAAGCTTCCGTCTTCAGGAGGAACCGTCGCAGCACGATAGCTGATAACACAAGACGGAAGTTTGTGTTGCCTCCGAAACGTCGTGATTTTTATTTTATTTTTATTTTACTTTTATTAATTTTAATTTTTTACCTACGTGACTTTACCGAAAAAACCTAAGAATATGAATCCTTGCAGTCACGAAAGCTTTAAATCTAGAATCATTACCTTTGCCACCTTTGCCTTTTAACTGATTACATTTCCTTATTTACCAAGATGATGGCCCGATAATATAATTAATCTAAATAGGAGACCCAGGCGTTCCCTTGTGAAAGAAGAGTACGTGCCAATGAGGCAATTCACGTGCGATTGACAGTTTAAATTCCCACACCTTCCCAGTTTTCCTGAAGAAAATTATCATCTGTTTTTTTTCTTTCAGCAATACATACATTTTCTTTAAAAAAAGTGTTTAGGACTTTAAAAAAAATTATACTAAGAATCCATTCGGGAAATCTTTCCACGTGATAAGCCACATCGTTGGGTTATAACTTGTGCCCGGGTTGCTTCTATATAGCTCAGTGGGCCTTAACTGGTAAAATTAAATGTAAAAAATTAAGTTTAAATCAAGTTCAGGTTCGTTGCGCTGCATGCTAACCACCACATTACCGAGATACATACCGTATGTGCGGACACACAAACACAAAGATCCCCCGTGTAGCCTTAACAGAATATCGGGACAATTGCTGTTAGCGAGTAGCACCTCTGAAGGCTGGCACGGCACAAGAGGAGGTGGGTGGCCAGCACCACGCCCGGCCGCCTTTGTCTCCCTAGTGGCGATGTATACACAATGCGCCAGGTACTAGTTTGAGGCTGAGTCGATCTAGGGGAGGCCCCAGGACCGGTTCAGATAATTGTCACTGGTGTTGGTAGCCGTGAGCGGGAATCAAACTCAGGATCACCGGATTCGCAGCGCAGCGCGCTAACTGCTGCCCCACCACTCCCCGCACACATGCTTAGACCCACACAACAGCCGCCGTTCACCACTAAGTGGCGGTGACGTCGCAACGGCGCTCGTGCCAGGTTATGTGCACGTTAAGGTAACGTGAAGTGTCGAACGCCCGCTGGCAGGAGGTCACGAGACAGACCCAGGTGGCGCCATGGGTTGACCGAGACGACTGGCCAACGCACCCCACCTGTGCCCTCTACTGTGCAACACACACACACGTATGTGCACGCACCACACCTGTACCCCCTACTGTGCCAACACACACACGTATGTGCACGCACCACACCTGTGCCCCCTACTGTGCCAACACCCACACACACACGTATGTGCACGCACCACACCTGTGCCCCCTACTGTGCCAACACACACACGTATGTGCACGCACCACACCTGTGCCCCCTACTGTGCCAACACACACACACACGTATGTGCACGCCCCACACCTGTGCCCCCTACTGTGCCAACACACACACACTCAGACACATATGTGCACGCACCACACCTGTGCCCCCTACTGTGCCAACACCCACACACACACGTATGTGCACGCACCACACCTGTGCCCCCTACTGTGCCAACACACACACGTATGTGACCGCACCACCCCTGTGCCCCCTCCTGTGCCAACACACATACACGCACTCGTATGTGACCGCACACACCTCCAGGTAGTGCAGCCTCTGCGTGAGCGAGCGCACAGCCGAGGGAGACGTGTCGAGGAGGGGGCCGTCGTCCGGAACCTCCGAGGCCGCCGAACCCGCTGACCCGACCACTCCACGCGTGCCGCGCCGCGTGCCATCGTCCTGCGGCCCCAGCAGATCGGAGAGCGATGCGAATGAAAATGAGAAGGAAGAACAAACGCGCACGGCGCAGCTGCTCTCACGCCGTGGTGACGAGCCACGCGTCAAACCGTCACTGGCAAGGCTGAGAATAAATAAGGGGCCATCCATGTCGTAGGTACGCTAAAAATCTGTCAAAACTTGACCCCCCTTCTCCCCTCCTCCCTGTACGCACGCGTATTTTTTACACCCCCCCCCTACCTGCATACCTACGCCTGACGCACCCCCCCCCCTCCCCTTAATCCACGCAGAAACGATCAAGGGTTAATCATATGGACGTGTTTAAGCAAACAGATAGTCCACCACCGGGCTATCTAACTCATTTGAAGGCCAATGTAGACAAATTATTATCGAGGCGTCACCACCCCCCCCCCCGCGTTTCCTATGAGTACATTGTCAGTAGACCCCCCATAGGCAAGCTACGCATTTGGGTTAACCCCCCCTCCCCTCTCCATGCGTATGGACTAAATGGATGGCCCCTTTTTGCATTTGTAGGGGGCTTAAATTCCTCACCAACTCAAAGCTCCTTAAACCACATATAAACCATTGCAATACCCTGCTGCTGGGAGCCCCCCCCCTCCCCCCAGTGGCAGCTGCCCCCCCCCCCAGTGACAGCTGCCCCCCCCCCCCAGCGGCAGCTGCCCCCCCCCCAGTGGCAGCTGCCCCCCCCCCCAGTAGCAGCTGTCCCCCCCCCCCCCAGCCAGTAGCAGCTGTCCATGTGTGGCGCAAGGCGGACCGCATGACCAGGACCGGAAGTGGTGATTAGTCTGCCCGTAGGGGCAAAAGGTCAAGCGGTGTTGTTGCTGGTTGCCGTGTTGCTGGTTGCCGTGTTGCTGGTTGCCGTGTTGCTGGTTGCCGTGTTGCTGGTTGCCGTGTTGCTGGTTGCCGTGTTGCTGGTTGCCGTGTTGCTGGTTGCCGTGTTGCTGGTTGCCGTGTTGCTGGTTGCCGTGTTGCTGGTTGTCTGTGGAACCTGAACAGTGCGATGCTCAAGAAGGTGGCCAGATGGCTCGAGAGGCCAGATCCAGGGGAGCCAGAAGCACAAAGATCCTGGGTTATGAATCCAGGTATCTGCCACCCGACTATGAATTTGATTATCAAGAGTAACAAGTTGATGGTCCCGGCCTGATCACCAATATCTGGGGTAAAGTGTGGGTACTCCCACCTTTTCAAAGACGAGAAGCCAGTTTGGAAGAGTAGACCGAATACACAGCCTCGAGGCAGAGGTTCCCATTTCATGGAAGCCCTTCCGTCAATAGTGGCATGAGCAGGCGCCCTGCCTTGTTACCAAATTTCAAATGTGCCAAGATTAACAATTAAATATAAAGTGTCACGAACAAACTGTGCTTGTTTTTTTTAAAACTGTAAGCAAAACAAACCCGTTAACTTAGGCGTAACAAACTGGTAACGAAAATAAAGCAAGTATTTCATTTACATCTCAATGTGGAGACCACATAGGATTGCAATGGCAACTTATGCATAATACATGTCCTCTTGAGACAAGCAGGCGAAGGGGAACAAAAGTGAGGAGATGATATTAAATCTGCACGAGCTCGCATAGTATATCTAACTGCAGCCAACCAACAAAAATAACAAGAAAATTAAAATCTCGTGTAAATCTTCCCGGGGCAACGTGCTCGTCGATGGAAAGCATGGCTTACCAGCATACCTGCAGAAGCACAACGAATTTTGACAAATGATACTGGTAGGAACCTCCTGGTTACACCAGCCCACAGGGGATTATTGTGTCCGTCCGTCCGTCGTGCATCCAAAAATGGGAGGGGTGGGGCTGGGTGGAGAGGGGAGGGTGGGGAGCGGCTGGGTGGGAAGGGGCAGGGTGGGTCTGGGTAGGGAGGGGCTGGTCACCCCATGGTGCCCTTATAAAACTCAACGTTTAACCTACTCACGCCGGCTTGTGCTCGCCCTCACAGTCGGGAATATTTGCGGAATACACCACGCCGCCGTTGACCCTGGCCATTGACCGAGCAACCCAACGTTCCTACCAGCTCCCTCCGCAGGAATGTGTGTTTGGACGTCGGAGGGATTTTTAAATATATTCCCAGTCACACAGAAGAGATCTAGACAAGGGAAGTGTAGAAGAAAATTGGAGATGCAGGGAAATGAGAAAAGAGAGATACGGCCAAGATAGATTTGAGAGATGAGTTGGCATCACATGTTATTTATATTTTGAAGCACAACACATTTTGACAAATGATTTAAACGAGTGTTCGACTCTCTTTGAAATGACGAATACATGGAGTATTGTGTGTGTGGGGGGGGGGGGGGTATCGACAATAATCACGCGCAAAGCGCCCTGACCCGATCTCAGTCGAACTCGAGCCAAGCAGGGTTGACATCCGATGTTCCAAATGATATCTTAAGACAATTCCATTTAGCCTGGCGTTTACAGCTGACGCCTAAATGAATGCTACAAGAGGTATGGTTGTAGATTTAAACTAATTACTATACTGATTGTATATTGACGAGGGATAATAATCATTTGCATACAGGAGCATTGGTTTTCAGAAAGTTGCCTTTAAAGAATAAAAGATTGAGCAACCGTACTTTTATTTGTTTAAAAAATATTAAATAAACACTTAATGCTCTTTTGCCAATCCACTGCTGGATGAAGTCTTCCCCACACCGTGCCAATCAGGGGGTTGGCGTCGTTTGACCATACTTCACCACGCCGGTCAGTGTGGCTTTGTGCGGAAAGAGAGCGCCGGGGAAAAGTTCGAACAACGCTCGCCACCGATCTTAGCCTGGGCCAGGAATCAAACTCAGGTAGTCAGCTTCACGGCGCAAGTGAGCTAACCTCTGCGCCACCGCTCTCTCTGCTCAGCCGCCGACGGTTTAAAAAAAAGGATCAGGAATTATCGGTACGTCTGAGAATGTTTGCATTCCGGTTTTATCGACGGGGGTGTGTAAAACAATATAGAACACGAACATTTTTAATATTGCACGTACAGTGTACAAATATATTCGTTCATTCAGTGTGTAAGTAAACCACGCGTTATAGAATGATTAATTGGTTATTATTTAACCACAGTACGAATGCCATCACTCATGACAGGTTTACCAACTCATTGTTTGTATGTTGCCAAGTAAAGCGCACTGAGTTGTGTAGCTTTTTTTTCAGAAGCTCAACGAAGTGTCTTGTCGTGTGCAAATTAACATCAGCCAAATATTCTAAACGCACGTTGATTCTAAATGTGGAGGGCAAAACCGGAGGACCCGGAGAAAAACACAATCACGGGAAGAGAGACACGCAAACTCCAAATTTACAACAGGCGTTAGGGTCGGGATCGAACTCACGACCTCCTGTATATCACACAAGATGGCACAGTGCAAACTCTACAATAAATGCACGGTAAAATGACGGTAGGTGCATTATTGAAACACTGCGAGAAATTGAAATGCGCAGCCCTGCAATGGCTTGCTCGCGCCAATGCTGGCAGAAGGGCCAACGCCGATCGCAGGGACCTCTAGACAGCCTTTCAAGAGATTGCTCTGGCCTACTCTTCCACGCTCACCGGACGTGTTGGGGTGCACTTTACGCTGTACCCCGCCACGCGTGCCCTGCCGATCTAATAGCCCTGGCCAACCCACCTCACAATGCTGGATGGACAGAGGCGGGCTTGTCGGGGTCTTTAAGACATCCACCCCATAGTTTCAGCTGCACGTTACCGGGCAGATCAGATCAAGCTGACGACGCCTTGCGCAGCGGCGGCATGAAAATATCAGCCGAGGAGAAGACGCAACGTTTCGGCTCGCGGCTCATCACGGAGGAGAAACTACGCGATTAAAAGTGTGCCGCATTTCTAAATGGGCGAGCAAGCGAGAGAATCAGAATACTGTATTTTTACTGGAGGAATCCGATAAGCTACTAAGCTAATTTTTTTGCACATTTGCATATTCACAATCCCACGAAAAAAATGTGCCCCAATGACCCCCTCTTTACACCTACACCAACCGCACTCGGCAACACATTCCCTGGCAAGTTGTCTCGGAAGACAAGCCACACTCATTGCCTTGCTTCATTAAACATTTATGGCATCGGTCCTTCGCCATCTCGTTGCGTGTTTGCTTTTTCGTAAGCACTTAGTTTTCCCAAGGCACCTCTCCCTCAATTCTAAGCGTCGACCATCACAGCAGCGAATTCTGGGATCTCTCTCTCTCTATTTCAATCCCCAAACGTGAAATATTAATGGCGTAGCCGCGCAAGTTAAAGATGCGTACGTGCCGTGTATTGGAAATTTGCATTTTGTGCTGAGGTGAACTATTTTCCTGCGCGTTTTCATTAGAACTAATCACGGATTCGCCACGGTCATGCATAAATTATGCGTCAGCCCGAGTCAGGGGTTTGTAAAGCCTCCAAAAAACTCACAAGGTGACAGAATATCTCTTGAGGACGCGTCCACGCGGTTCGCCCACCTCCTCGAATCATCACCCACGTTATTCGCACCAGCCGATTAGCAAAGCTGAGCGATCGAGCGACCGGTACATTTGCACGTGATGTCATGTCGATGTGACGCTTCGACGTCCGGTCGAGAGCTTGGGGAGACGCTGAATTCGACTTGTGACTCTGCGTCGCCGCCGCTCAGAGTCGGCTGGCTCTCAAAGACGAGGAACCACGGATGAGTGTGAAAGGCAGCAGGCGGGGAGTCGGTGCAATAGGGCTGGTACTACACCCACACCACTGTGGTGTCCGCGGTGTCATTACACCCCACGCCGTGACCCTCTCTCGGGCCGGCACTGCACAGTGACATCCCGCGATGTCACTGCACGTGTAGAAGCACAATGGACTTGCAAATCCAGAGGTCCGCCGATTAAACCTCCTGACCAAGGAGTTGAAACAATGGGTACATTTTTAGTGTTTTTGTAATTGATGCACGGTAGTTCATGCACAGGCAAAGCGGCAAAGGGGTAGTCGAGTGTGGGTAACGTCAGTTTAACACGTGGTAGGC